GATTTGCATATACAGGGTGACTCAAAAAAATTAATGAATGCGTAAATTTATTTTATTGATTTAATCAGGCACTACAAGACCGAATGCTTTGAAATCTTGCAGATGTTTTAAGGTTATAAAGAGCATAATAAATTTTTAGTCAAAATATATTTGGTTATCTTCTACAAAAAACTGATGACGTCAGCTCAAAAGTTTGCCGAATAATTCGTATCTAAAATGTACAAAATATGATGAGTCTGTACTTGTGATTTATCATTCCATTCATATTTTTGGATTTGCATATGCAGGGTGACTCAAAAAAAAATAATGAAGGCGTGAATTTATTTTATCGATTTAATCAGGAATTACAAAACCGAATGCTTTGAAATCTTGGGAATATTTTAAAGTTATTATAAGCATGGTAAACTTTTGTTCAAAATGTATTTGTTCATCCCTCCTAAAAAAATTGATGACGTCACCCTTAAATTTGGCTGATTAAATCCTATCTAAAATGCAAAAAATATGATGGGTTTGTACTTGTGATTTATCATTCCATTCATATTTTTTAGATTTTCTTAAGAGGTGGTTCAAAAAAATTAATGAAGTCAATTTATTTTATTGATTAAATTAAAGGCTACACTTATTATTAGTATTACACCCCAACCAACCCAATTTGGTAGACACAAAATTTGTTAAAGGAAAAACTCGGTTGAAATATAAGGGTAGCACGCTTATTTACATCGACTTTAACATTACAGACCTGCATTTGTTTTATGCGCTCACTTGGTTCCGCGAATGTGAAATAGACACGTTTATAATCAACCAATTGTGAATTTCACCGTCAAGAATTAAAATAAAACCCAATGTTTTATATAATAAGCGGAAGTCGAAGCAATAAAACCGATGGTCGTTTTGTTTACAGTTTCTCTGTTTGACTCTCACGTATGCTGTTACGCTTGTCATCTTAAATTAAGAATGTTTATACATAAACGATTTTCAGTTGCCATATACGTGAGTAAATTGTTTCGTTATTTTATTGATTATAAAAAATCAATATTCAAAACGACCCAATTCATTTTCCCGAAAATTTGGGAATACAATAATTTTATTCTTAGTATTACACTACATCTATCCCAACTGATATACGTGTCCTTGCAAAAATGTTGATGACGTCATCGCAATTTTTTTTAAATTCCCACTACAAAAATGTAATGAGAAAAAACACAATAGCCATGCAGTCGTCAAGTTTCCGACAGCGAGGGAAGTACTGTCTAAACTCTTTAGACCAATTTTTTAGATTTTCTTAAGAGGTGGTTCAAAAAAATTAATGAAGTCAATTTATTTTATTGATTAAATTAAAGGCAACACTTATTGTTAGTATTACCCCCAACCAACCCAATTTGGTAGACACAAAATTTGTTAAAGGAAAAACTCGGTTGAAACATAAGGGTAGCCAGGGCCGGTCCTAGTATTTTTGGCGCCGGAGGCAACATTTTCAAGAGCGCCTATGGAGATGTGCCTAAAGGGTTTTTTTTGTAGGTATTATAAAACAAATGAAACATTTGAAACAGGTTTTATTTTTATAACTAACAAGTACCAAAAATTCCTACATAGATAATTTTGAAATATTAATTTATATTAATTTTACTGGCTTTAATGCTGGTAAACTGTTGAATGATTTTACGAGGGTCTATTTCTTTGGCAATGTCTTTTTCAATAGATATAATAGCGAGATCGTTAAGCCTATCTTGTGTCATTGTTGACCGATGGTAATTTTTTATTATTTTTAATTTAGAAAAACTTCGTTCTGCTGAAGCGACTGAAACTGGGATGGTCAGTAAAAGTTTTAGGGCAATTGCAATGTTCGGGTACAATGATAATATTTCATTTTTGTGCAAATAATTTAGAACATCTATTGGTGCCAATACACTGGGTGGTAGCAACAAATCGTGTAACTCCCTATACAAATCGTTACCATCAACGTCTTTATTTTCTTCATCTGTCAATGCCAGTTGAAGGTCCATACAATAACAACTCATTTGGTGGTACCTCGTTTAAATTTTTAAAATTATATAAAAAGCTAAAGAGCTCACAGTGTTCTTGAAGAAGCTGAAACCTTTCTGTTACCGCATTTATTGCAACATCTAAAATTAGATAATAAAATTCAATTTGGAATTTTTTTTAGGGATCTATAATATTTTCATCTTTAGCCTCATAATTAAAATTTCTTCAAGGAACCCTCTTGTTTTTTTATTTCTGCTTGTTTTGCAATTTTTCTTTTATAGTTATCCCACCCAGATAATTTTCTTTTCATTCCAAGTCCGGACATCTGTCAATTTCAGACATATTTTTTTTTAATTTCTTATATTGAATGTGTATAAGAAATTAAAAAAAATATGTCTGTGGGCGGATGTCTTTATATTTTGAATTTTATTTTTCTTACCTTTGTTAAATCACTGACACTGAAAGAATTCACGTTATAATACAATGTTATTAAAAGAAAGCACAAATTAAATACAATCTAGTTTTTGTTTGTTTCGTATGCTTGCAAAGACAAGACTAAACTGTGATTAAACTTATTTTGCGAAAATTCGGGGACAGAAAATGTGTTTCTCCCCTAAAATAAAAAGTATACATTACCAAACAAAGATGCCGACAAATGAAGTGATTATTTATTAGTGCCTAATATATGTATATTGGGTCTCGGTGTCTGACAGTCCGACTTCCGGTCTTGACGGCCAAGGCGGCAGGCTTTTACCTGCAGGCCGGTTTAAAGCATAAAGATATCGCTTATATTTTAGCGAAGGCGTTTACTACCCGATTCCGAAGCCTAGAAAAAAATGCATCTGTTTCAAATATTTTTAATAATTTGAAATTGAACTTAGCCACATTTGGCGCCTGTTTCACGTTGGCGCCTATGGCAAGTGCCTCCTCTGCCTCCCCTGTTAATCCGGCCCTGAGGGTAGCACGCTTATTTACATCGACTTTAACATTACAGACCTGCATTTGTTTATGCGTTCACTTGGTTCCGCGAATGTGAAATAGACATGTTTATAATCAACCAATTGTGAATTTCACCGTCAAGAATTAAAATAAAACCCAATGTTTTATATAATAAGCGGAAGTCGAAGCAATAAAACCGATGGTCGTTTTGTTTACAGTTTCTCTGTTTGACTCTCACGTATGCTGTTACGCCTGTCATCTTAAATTAAGAATGTTTATACATACACGATTTTCAGTTGCCTCTGATACGTATACGTGAGTAAATTGTTTCGTTATTTTATTGATTATTACAAATCAATATTCAAAACGACCCAATTCATTTTCCCGAAAATTTGAGAATATAATAATTTTATTCTTAGTATTACACTACATCTATCCCAACTGATATACGTGTCCTTGCAAAAATGTTGATGACGTCATCGCATTTTTTTTTTAAATTCCCACTACAAAAATGTAATGAGAAAAAAAACACAATAGGCATGCAGTCGTCAAGTTTCCGACAGCGAGGGAAGTACTGTCTAAACTCTTTAGACCAATTTTTCTATTTCAAAACATAAAATTATACTCATCTTAATCGCTACCTACGGCCGAGAATAACTGATCCTGTTTAATTCATTATATAAGTAAATTTACTTGTATCATCATCATGGTTTAATTTAAGAATTAAGACATTAATTTAAAAAATATATTTTGCGAATTAGACGATCACATCTTAAATCAGGATCCATTAAATAATCACCATATTCAACTAAATTACCTTGTTCTAAAAATTTATTTAGCAATTCGGATTCGTCATCGAAATAAGCGAATAACGAAATGAATTTGATAACAGGATTAGACACAGATAGGTATTCAAAATTGATATCAATTAAAATTCGGTAACTATATGTATATAATTTCGGAGGCTTCTACGGTTGGAATGATATACATATACAGTTTTCCGGGTTGGAACCGTGTAAACTTAACCCGGAAAACGATCATGTATAGTGTATGTATAAATATATTAAATCGTTTTAGTAATTAATTTCAAAATTATATCACATTATTATGACAGTCTTAATAGATTTCTCAAAGTCTGTTGAGATTCATAAAGTTTGTTCAATAGTTTTTTCGTTTCAAATCTATTAGTATAAAATGTTCGACCTTTGTAACGACAAAAAAAATGAATTTTTTGCGTATTAGCTATAAGATTAAATAAATATTTGTCTCAAGCAATGTTGTTTGTGATTATATTATAATTAGATGCTAAACAAACATTAAATAACTTTAGTGTTTGATGTAAAAACAAATATTCCATAATTTTCCTATGTCGCTCAGTACTCTTTTGCCCCCAATGGGTATTACTGGTTGCCTAATCATGTTGACAATATTACTTATACGGTTTCCAAACAGCAACGCGCAGTCCAATTATAATAGGTCAATGCTTGCTAAGATAAGACTGTGATTGGCAATTGATATACCCTTTAAGAAAATAGAGGGCGGGTGGGTGGGGTAGTACTTGCTAAGATAAGACTGATTTTGGCAAATGATATCAGTCATATCTACTTTTAGTAAAAGCAACTGTATTTTTAATTTTTTTGTAGGTCGAGTAAAGGCGGCTCATTTCCCCTGCCATCAAGTGCAGCTGTGGAGTGGACACGGTTGTCAGAGCTTAGTCTGATAATAAGCTTTCGACAGCTATCGAAGAATGAAAGTTGCCAAAATATCCTCTCAAATGGACAAGCCCTTGAAAGTAACTATCAAGAATTTTTGCGAGCTACTATCAAGTTGACACGTAGCTTAACGATATGTATTGTGTGTTGCTTAACTCACAAATTAAGTTTATTAATTTTGTGTAAAAGACCAACTGTAAAATTAACTCTTAAGAAAAATAAAATATACAAAAAATATAACGAGAATGACCTTGTTTTCCAAGCTTACTTTTGCCGCGCTTTTGACCGCAGCTTTTGACCTCCATGCGTTTGACATTTCAAGTAGATACTTTTTCTTCTTCACAATTTCAGTTGGTATTACTGGTAACCAAATAACCGAACACGTGCGGCCATAACCTAAGTTGACGTTTCCCAAGATTACACAAAAAATAATTATCAATTATTAGTTATTACTCGTTAACTACAAAGTTTGTTTTTCGTTGTTAAGCTAAAAAAATGGCTTTATACAATTTCAAGAAAATCGCCGTCGTCCCTTCATCCAAGGTAATTGAATCATTAATTATTAACGTCCGCATTTACCAATTTTACTTAAAATTTAGGACTTCATCGATATTATCCTCTCCAAAACACAACGTAAAACCCCCACAGTAATCCACAAACAATACAAAATAACAAGAATCCGCAACTTTTACCTCCGGAAAATAAAATTTACTCAACAAAATTTCCATGATCGACTGACACAAATCCTCACCGAATTTCCAAAACTGGACGATGTACATCCTTTCTATGCCGACTTAATGAACGTCTTGTATGACAAGGATCACTACAAGCTAGCTCTTGGCCAAATTAACACAGCCAAACACTTAATTGATAATGTCGCTAAAGACTACGTCCGTTTAATGAAATATGGGGACTCGTTGTACCGCTGCAAGCAACTAAAACGGGCCGCTTTAGGCCGCATGGCAACCATCATGAAGAGACAAGCGTCTAACTTAACGTATTTAGAGCAAGTCCGGCAGCACTTGGCTCGTTTACCGTCAATTGATCCATACACCAGAACCATGATAGTTTGCGGATTCCCAAATGTGGGGAAATCTAGTTTTATGAATAAAGTCACAAGGGCTGACGTAGAGGTGCAGCCTTATGCTTTCACAACTAAATCATTATATGTTGGACACATGGATTACAAATATTTGAGGTGGCAAGTTATTGACACCCCTGGAATTTTAGATCATCCACTGGAAGAAAGAAACGTTATTGAGATGCAGGCGGTGACAGCCCTTGCACATTTACGAGCTTGCGTTTTGTATTTTATTGATCCATCTGAACAGTGTGGGCACATGTTAGAAGAACAAGTAAAATTGTTTGAGTCGATTAAACCTCTTTTTACAAACAAACCGTTAATTGTTGTCGCTAATAAATCAGACATAGTTCAGATTGATGATCTACCCCCAGAGAAACAGAGCATTGTGCAGAGATTGAAAGATAGCGATGAAATAACAATGATGGAAATGTCTACAATTACCGACTCTGGCGTCATGGAGGTGAAACAAGAAGCATGCGAGAAGCTTTTAAGCTTCAGGGTTGACCAAAAAATGCGATCAAAAAAAGTCGACGGTTTGCTCAACAGAGTCCATGTTGCTGTACCAAAACCTAGAGACGACAAATCGCGACCACCTTGCATACCAGACTCTGTTCTCGAGAAAAGACAGACCACTGGTTCACGCAAGCGCAAACTTGAACGTGACATCGAACTCGAAGAAGGTGACGATTACGTGCTTGATCTTAAAAAGACATACGTTGAAATACCGGAAGAGGAACGCCACGATATTATTCCTGAAATTTGGGAAGGTCACAATATCGCCGATTATATCGATCCAGAGATTTTCGACAAGCTCGAGGCTCTAGAACGTGAGGAAGATCTACAAGAACAAGCTGGAATGTATGTCATTCCCAAAATCGAGCTGACAGAAACGATGCGAGAGATTAAAGCTCTAGCGCTGCAGATTAGGAACAAGAAGGCGATTATTAAGGATGAGGCTAGGGTTAATAAGCAGTCTAGAAAACCGGTAATGCCAAGAACGGCTAGACCGAAGATTAGAGCTAGATCTGTGTCAAAATTGAAGTCTGATATGGAGGAATTGGGTGTTGATATGAGCGGTTCCAAGGATGCTCATTTCACGAAGACGAAAGGAAGGAATAAGTCGATGGAACCGGTAGGTAAGAGGATGAAGATGGACGTTGATAAGAATCAGTCGACGAGTTTGGCGACTAGAAATGTGGGAGCGCTAATGAAACGGCCTAGGAATGAGTTGGGAGTTAAAGATCCAGCGGTAAGTGTGCGATAACATTTGGTTAGGTTTGTTGTTTTGAATGTGTTGTTTTTAATTTTCAGATGAGAAAGAAATTAGCCAAGATAGCACATCGCGCTATTAGTAAGAAGGTTAAGAAATATGGTCTTAAGGGAGAAGCTGATAGGTTTATTGGTAACAAAATGCCTAAACATCTCTTCACCGGAAAACGTGGTATCGGTAAAACCGATCGTCGTTAATTTTTTATTAAGTACTATGTAGTTTTGCGTTTTGTTTTATGCAAGAAGTGTGAAATTATTAAGTTTGCAGTGTAATTATTTATATGGTTTTTTAATCGTGGTAACACTACTATGTAACATATGATGAATATAACTATACAAGTGATTAACGAGTAATAATGAACCCCACAACATTGAGAATGCAACCCAAAATATACGTCTAAAAAATTCGAAGATTATTTATTTATCAAAAACACAAACAGTAATCACGATATTATTATAATTTTGACAAGCATCATTTTTAAAGTTTGGAATAAACATGTAATTAATTAATGTAATACTCAAAAAACAGTTCATCATTTTATTTAACAGTGGTGGGAACCGCGTACCGAAATTTCCATAAATAATTGAGGAAAATAAAACAAAAATTATAATAAATACTAGACACTTTATATTTAAAATAACTGCGTTTATAACGTAATTTTTTTTGCTCTTTGATACTTTTTTGGTACCTCTTGCATTAACTTGCTCAAAATTTTGGTTTTTTGCCGTCTCTGATTAGTAGTGATTAGTGAGAAATTTCAAATCACATTCTGTTAAAATTTTCTACGACGTAAATAACAAACTGAAGGAACTGAAGTAAAAAAAATATTTGCTTCTAGTTTCTGTGCAAGATAGTACTGACAAGGTCTATTTGCGTTACAATTTACTTTAAACAACGGTGTTGATAACGAACTGATATCAACCTTTGCTGCCAACGCGTACACACCAAAGTTCCCAAAATATCCCTAACCGAAATGTCAAAACGGAGTGTCACTGCATGGAAGTGTCAAAAATAGAAATGTGCACAAGAGTGTTAACAATGTCGCCTTGTAAAATGTGATTTCGTGACAAAAAACTAATTATTTGTGCAATGTATAAACCACCATACATCTCAATCAAAAGTTCTTAATCACCTAGAGGCAATGAGCACCGAAAATCACAATAGTGTCGAACAAAACCCGGTGGTTTTTCTCGACATCAAATTCGGAGCGGCAAAAGGTTTGTTATTTCATAAACAACAACAAAAGTACGAACTGAATAACACATTTTTTAGCCGGCAGGGTCATAATAGAACTGTTCAAAGACAAAGTACCAAAAACAGCCGAAAATTTCAGAGCACTTTGCACGGGCGAAATGGGATTAGGGAAAAAAGGATTTCCTCTGCATTATAAAAATTCGGTATTCCATAGAGGTGAGTCGAAAAAATATTATAAACGATTTATAATGATGCCCTATTAATATATCACTTATGAGCGAGCCAATTTAGATAATTACAGTTTACAGTTCATTTAACAAAAACAAAACTTAAGAAAAAATGTATTCGATACCATTAGCCATAAAAGTAAAACATTTTTCGGTATAAAGCAAAATTACAAAATTTCTCCAAACCTATGTGTGTTTAAAGAATAACATCTATAGACCAACATTTATAACAATTAACCAACAATTACAATATCTTGTTACAAAGTTTGCGCATTTAACAAGCCAATTACATACAATAAAATAATGTTTTCAACTTTACCCATGCATAGTTAATTGAAAATAAGCAATAAATTGATTTGAGTTACAATGTAATCTTTTTGACCAAGACGTTTAGACAAAGTTGTCATTTATTTTTTAATTAAATGTGTCATAGATTAGTTTATACGCAAATTTCAATGAAATACAGGAAAATCAGTTTTCTTCGAAAAATTTGCTTTTACTGTATCTCGTTTCCGACAAAAAACTCGGTAATGTTTCTCCGGGTAGTGTCTAGAGTGCTGTAAGCTGAAAACAGTGGCGAAAACCGCGGTCCGAAATTTCCATAAATAAAAGACATAGTGATTTTGAAGATATGTCATGAAAAATTTCACCAAAATACCAAAAGGAAGATAATTAAAAACGGCTCTTGCATTACCCAACACAAGTTGTGACAGGTTATAATTAAAATTTCATAACAATACGTGTGTTGATAATGGAGATATTGCTTCCTGAAAATGTAGGGACTCCTCTAAAATCGTGCGGTATCTTAGTTAAATTGTAAAATATTTTAGAATTGTGATTTTTTTACAAAAATCCAGATCTAGATGGTCGGTCCAGTAAAATCCCAAAGAATATAAAAATAATCCAGATAAAAAACTGAAAAAACAATAAATAAACCGAAGTGTGTAAGTAAGGGCAATGATAATGTTGATAAGAATAATAAAATAAAATCCGTTTTGACTCACTAGATTAGAATTACTGTTCGACACACTTCCCGTTCATCAGCACACAAAGATAAAGAAAGCCAAGAACGGTTTATTAATATGACGTCTTTGGATAAAGCCGAATTTGAATCACTTGCGAATGTTGCGACACACAACAAGTAATCAAATTAAACACTTTTAACTTCCCGCACGTAAGCTAAACAAATATTGTAATAGGGTTCATCTGACGATTGGCTGCTTTCAGGTTTTCTCGACGTTTCATGACCTCTAAAATAATAAAAAGTAGGTCTCGCATTTCCATCTGTCTGTTTGTGTCATATTTGTTGTCTTTATTTTATACTCTATATTTTTATTATTTTTTTTTGTCTCCAAAGCTACTAGAGCAATTGTTATTAAATTTTGTATGTATTTTAGGATAATCGTGTAGATAGTAAAACGCTAACCGAAGTTTGTCTAATCATTCCCACCAACAAATTGATAACGTTTCCTCAAAATTTTTCATAGTAAGTAGGATTTAAATTTTATAAAATAACATACTTCTGTACTTGTGTATGAATGCGTCTTGAAGTTTCTCCCGAGGCATTTAAATTTTCGCAAAAAATCGAAATTGTGATTGCTAATTGCTTACAGTGAACGACTTTGGACCTGTAACACGAAAGTCGCGCATGCTCGATTCTGTCATGGGCTTTTTTGTTTCTTACACTTTTACTGGTATTATCTATATATTTTTTAATGTATAGAGGTTATCACCAATAAAATTTCGTAACATCAAATTTTATAATTTTGTCAAGAAGAAGGATTTGTTGGATTGTACTTCAAGGGTGAGGGAAATTCTGTGAAAATAACCTTGGACGAGTTTCCTTTTTAAATTAGATTTTGTTACATTTGTAGCTGACTTACAATTCAACATCAAAATTATTATCAACCTGTACTATTTTTTCTAATTTGTGTTTTTAGCTTGACCTTTTGATAATTCCATTTTTGCATGTTTTGTTTTTTGTATTATGGTATCTACATTAACTGTATACTGAAAACATAACTTTTACAATAATACCAGTGTTACAGCAATAGGAATATGTTAATACAAGCTTACGAAGGTTGCATATTTAAGTTCAAAATGATTAACCCTTAATGCACAGATCGAAATAAACTATTCGTCACTATAAAGGACAAGCGTGGGTATTTACAAAATTTTGACTTAAAAGTGTTGAACGTTCAGGTTATGTGAGCATGAACGATGATCGGTATTAAAATCGAAGTAGGTAAAACTCAGTAATACGCAACTACACTACTAAACTCCATAGCGGTAATATACAGCCCAACTTAACTTGTACTTATTAATCGACTGGAATGGATTTGACTAGCCTACTTGCTCCGGCCGGTGATCCGTATTTAAACAGTCACGCATTCCTTCTGGAGAGTTCGCGATCGCTGCTTCGATGTCGTCCTGGAGAATCGCTTCTAGGATTTTCTTTATTTGAACGTCGCTGTCGGTAATGATGAGTTACCGGTCATCGTGGTAGCATACTTACTAGAAAACCCATAGGCTTCGAACCGGGGTGGCGTATGGGTTTACTTCATAATCATAATGGTATACAGAAATTTCATACATCGAAGTGGGGACTGATTTGTTCCGCCTCTTTCGGACCGTGTTAACTATCTCATTTTTCGTTGTTAAGTGTTTAATTGGTTGCATAAACTGCAAGAGAAGAATTTAATTCATACAAATTGAAAACGCTATATGTATGCACTTAAAATATATGTGATAAATTCTTTATTTAATTTGCCAAACAAAAAATTATCAAGTAAGTTTTATTAGGAAAAACCACTAAAAAAGATTTTTATTATTTTCTAAACATTCACTCCTTTTTTCATATTTTGAAAAATGTTCCGTAGCATTTCATCACCTATTATTCTGTAGTTCTAAATTATTAAATTCCTGTTGACATACTTGATATTTTAAATAGCTAAATCGTGAATATAATATAATGGTTTAAGGTCAGGGGGAATGTGGTGGAAATTCTGAAATAAGTTGAAGCTTATAGTCCGGTTGTATACCTGGATCGTCTCCATTTACTGAATTAAAAAAAAAAAAAAATGGGGTAAAGAGTTTAGACAGTACTTCCCTCGCTGTCGGAAAAATTTTTGTATCGGAGCATTTTAAAATAAATTGAGTATTGATTTTCTCAATTTTGTCATTATTTGGCATTGACATCTTTGTCATTTTTTTCTGTGATTGCTATGGTGGCTTATTAAAAAAAAATTAAATTGGACGAAGTCGTCTCTGGGCTGTATAATATGTTGCCTATGAAAAAATTGTCAGGCGTGAAGAGATTAAATGAACACCTTGTATAGTACTTGTAATTTAAGACAAATAGCCATAACACTTATCAACCTGTAGACGTGACGGTGAAATACAAACTAAACTAAAACATGTTTTGTACGAATTACAATAACCGGATGATAATGCCGACGGTCCAGACTTGTTTATTTCTCTGACTTACACTACATTTTATTTGGTTTTTGGATACATTTGGTTAATTATAACTTGTCTAGATCTAGGGAAGCATCCCCTAACCTCCCCCTAGCTACGACCTTATGAAATATCGAGAAAATTGAGCAATGGACTCCATTACTGTACGTCCTGAGGTTATCCTCGATAAGAAAAACAACTTGAAAGTGTTTATGTTTATACATCGGAAGGATGTCACGCAGAAATTAGTTTGATTTGAATGAGTTCGTCCCCTCAAAACATAGGATCAAAACAATTAATTACTAAGTTATAATCGACAAAGTGTTTATAATATCATTATTATAATTCTTATTAAATAAAGACGTTTGTATTTTCACATTTTCGGGAAAATGGAGTAAACTTTATCCGGCAAAATTTTGTGATAACGTCATCAATTTTTTTATTAACAATTTACCATCCTTATAATGACTTTAAAACGTCTGCAAGATTTCAAAGTATTCAGTTTTGCAATTCTTGATTTAATCAATAAAATAAATTTACTCAGTCATTAATTTTTTTCGGACACCCCGTATAAGCAAATCTAAATAATATTAATGCAGTAGTAAATCACAAGTATAGACTCATCATTCTTTACACATTTAAGGTAGCATTTTTTCAGCAAAATTTTGGGGTGGCGTTATCGATTTTTTAGGGGGTATGAGCAAATAAATTTTGATTAAAAATTTACTATGCTTATAATAAATTTAAAATATCTCCAAGATTTCAATTCAGTTTTGTAGTTCCTGATTAAATCAATAAAATAAATTCACGCGTTCATTAATTTTTTTGAATTACCCTGTATATACAAATTTAAAAAAATATGAATGGAATGATAAATCACAAGTACAGACTCATCATATTTTGTACATTTTAGATAGGATTTATTATAAGATAAGCAAACATATTTTACCTAAAAATTTATTATGCTCTTTATAACCTTAAAACATCTGCAAGATTTCAAAGCATTCGGTTTAGCAGATTCAAAATTAAATTCTTGTTTTATAATTTTGATTTTTTTTTTCCAAAAATCTGGACGTTTCAGGTAAAACTCAATTCGGAGTCATGAGTAGGACTATGTTATTTTATACAGCCCATTTACTATATACAATTTTGAAGTGACGTCATCGCATTAGTGGTGGGGATGATTAGACAAATTTTGGTTACCGTTTTACCATCTACATGATATTCCTAATATATATATATAAATACAAAATTTGACAACATTCGGCCTAGTACTTTCGGAGATTATCTGTTTAATAAAAATCCGTGGCAGCCCATTCTCCAGTGTTTTGGCATCACAAAAAAAGTATATGGGTTTTCAGTACTCTAGATTTCAAAATTCTATGAATTAACATAACCAGATAAATGGAATTAAGGTTCGTCACTAAGGAATGTTAAATCCAATATTCTGTCATCATTGAAATTATTTTAAAACTAGTTATCAGTGAGAAACGGATAACTCTATCATCGTTACAACAATCCTAAAATACACTGTCCGATAAAAAAACCTGGACACTTGAATATTTGTAAATTAGTGTTACAACTTTTTTTACTGTTTCCACGTGTTGTAGAATAAAGTTGTGTTTTCTATTAATCAATACATTAATCATTTGCTTTTTAGAATATTTTTACAAAAGTTCAACCAGTTGCAAGTAATCACAAAAAGTTCAAATGTACGAGTTTTTTTGTCCGGCAAATTTCAGAATATTCATTGGTGCAGTTTCTGGGTCAAATTTTAAAATGTTATACAATTGCACGATATGCAATTTTTTCAAGTATTTTTTTTTTAATTTTAAGGTAATATTGGTTGCCTAATGCACAGAACAACCAGTTTTTGTATGTTATAATACCCTCCACCCTGGACCACTAGGTTTGACCCACACTTCCAGATTTAAAAAAAAATGGGTTTAATAAATGTTTTATTTGACAGATCAAATAATTTTATCAAAGTCAGTGTCCCGTTTTTTAAATCAGGAACGTACACTCAAATTGCTGTTATAACATGAAAAAAAACAACTAAGACTTTGTTATGTCAAAGTTTACAAAAATGCCTACTGACTTGATTCAAAGTTGGCTACATCTCCTTTTGACGTTTTTTCGATCAATTCAAAATTTTCGTGATGTCACACATCTCCCCAAATTCCCAAGAAAATGCGTTGTTGTAATTGCGAAAACTGTAACGGTGGCGAATGCTTCCCGCAGGACTTGGAATCTCTGGAGAAGTGGCGCAAAGACTTTGATAACCTACGTAAGCAGTGGTCGGATTACTTAGTCTGTGGCACTGAAATGGACAAAAAGTGCTGCCACTGTTGCTGTAAAGACAGCTGTCCCAAATTAGTAAAAGGCAGATTTGGGCTCGCTTGGGTTAGCGAAACACCCACGCGAAAAACCTGCGTCCCTTGTGGATGGCAGCTCGAAATCTGCGACACTCCGTCTCAAGTGGAATACCAGTGTTGCAGAATGGAGCGCTGGGCGAACTGTCCTCCTGTAGACGACTGTATGTCTTACAGGAAGCCCAAACCGTGTTGTGCTAGGAAACGTTGCGTCTCGAAATCGCCATGTCATAAGCCTTGTTGTTCCGTTAGAGTAATGCCTTTCAAAGCGCCTTCTCAGGAGTGCTGTTGCAGCAAATGTAACAGTGATTTCTCTGTTTTCACCTTGTATTAATAGATTCTGTTTAGGCAAGAGCGAGAAAAATGACAAAGCCATAGCCACTGATGATTGCATCTGCAATGAAAATAAAAACACAGACAAAAGTAAAGCTGACGAGAATACTAAAACTAATGAGGGGGTTAAAGATATCTTAACTCCTAATAACGCGACTAATGAAACCCCTGCCACACCTAGAGCTCGATCCCGAGCTAGAAGAAGAACGCGGAGATAGTTTTATGTTAGCTACTTTATATTAATAAAAAATTAAGAGTTTAATGGTTGTTTTTTTCATTACAGTGGTTCCCATGTTTATGGCTCAAGGAGGAGATATTACCAGGAAGGATGGGACTGGTGGCGAAAGCATTTATGGAGAAAAATTTGACGACGAAAATTTTTCAGTACTGGTAATTTTATGTAACTATTTTTACTTCTATAAGCGTCCGAACAACTTTGTATAGTATACATACGACTTGATTAAGTCTTTTTATTACAAAAAGCCAATATTAGCTAAGACCAGTAATCCAGAAAATTTCATTTGCACATATTTATCATCCATTTCTCGGTGTCTTTGCGCATATATACAGTAGGAACACTAGTTTTGTACAAACTCATTAAACTTTTTCAAATTCATCAAAAATCGGATTTAAGTCAATCAAATCAAAGTTAATACATTTTCTAATGGCTAGAGAATTGGAGAATATGAAAAAATTAAAATAAGCTTACTAATAATGAGAACCAGAAATGTTTCGCCGTTACTTTTACTTTTGGTCGTCCCTAATGCCCCTGTGGTACAGAACTGACACATTATGGTTTATTAGAATTCGTTATCAATTTACCATGCCCACAACAACCTTAAAACGTTTGCAAAATTTCAGAACCTTGTGTTTTTCAGTCTGTAAGTTAAATTGTAAAATGTCAGTTTTTTTTTATCAAGCCGAATTTATAAGCCACAAATATAGAAGTATGTTACGAAATTGTATAACAATTTGTCCAGTAGTTTTGGAAATTGTCTATCTAACAAAATCGTCGCAAACGCCAGACATAAAACCTCGAGAGAGAAAAACCGAAGTTAAACCTCTTTTCACTGAACTTCTCGTTCTCTCCCCCTTATTTCCTGAAGATGCCCCTGACGAAACCCAAAAATCGTCTTTATTCTCTCTCGGAATCCAGCCGAACCACCTTTTAGTTGGTACAGGCTGTTTTCACAACTTGAAAATAATTTGGTGACTTTCTTTTTTCAGTCAAGTGTTTGATTGAATACGACAGGTGATTTAAAATCCGTTATTATTATTAATCCATATTCTCTCTCGGATGTGGGTGAATTCTAACCTAAGTTTTAACGTCAACATCTTGAAATTAGGATGAACACGAACACTGACGAAATTTTGCATCAAAGCATTCGCTGCAATATTTATACGCGCTGTAAATACGTGATGTAAATGATAAATTAATTCAACTGTACTTAATCGTTAATTGCTAATAATAAAGCTCTCTATGTCAGTCATAACAGCCACAGCAATTAGGATTCAACAGTCAAGGCCGGTAACCAATTATGCCAACAACAGATTCAAATATTCATATTTTACTGTCTATATTTATAACAAAGTTAATACCATTTGATGGAAAAAAATCTAGTGGACCATGAAATTTGTTTTTAAGTAATGATATTCGACCGTCGTAGCGAATCTTAACCAATTTCATATTTTTTAAGGGTCCTTTTTTTCTGTAGGGTGTTTTCATGTTTCCATACTTGTTTTAGACAGTTTTTCAGTAAAGAAATGTTGGTCCGCAAACTAAATATTTTATATCCTTACGTGTTATAAGAGATGTTGGCCTCAAACAAATTGACTTCTTTTTATGCAAACGTGGAATATTTGGAAAATGGAATGAAAAGAGTGTCAACCTTGAAAGTACTTATTCTCTTAATAGCAAGTATTCAGTGGTTAGAAAATAGAGATGTGTTTCCGACGAATGGGCCCTTTTCATGTTTTCTCCACGTTTCATGACCCCCTAAGGGTAGAAAAAATAGGCCACCCGCTTCCGTCTGCCTGTCTGTCTATTTGTGTCGATTTTTATTAGACAGATAAGCTCCGAAACTATCGGACAATTGTTGTCAAATTTTATTTATTTATCCTCACTAACAATGTAATGACGTCACCTCAAAATTTTACATAGTAAGTGTTATTTCAATTTTATAACACAACATGCTTCTACACGTGTAGGTTATAAACTATTATGTATCTATGACGTTATGCCCAGAGGGCAGCAGGGTCCAGCCCGAAGCCATAGATGTTCCAAGGAATGGATGTTGCCCGTGGGCATTATGTTTTAATAACGTCCACGGTTCTTATAACATTTTATTTTTCACCAGTTTCAAGAACTAAAATAAGTTTAGACCAAGTTTTGAAATATTTTGAAACTAGTGGGCTTGATACGATTTGCACAAATAAAAACTACGAGTTGCTCATTTGTCAGGTTTAAATGAAAAATGTAAATTTCATCAAAAATCCTTGAAAAAAACACAAAAGCAAAGGAAAATTGAAAGGGCGTTATAAAATCGTAACACCCACTAATTTTTTTATAATGTCATAGGGCGTTATGATCTTGTTAATACCAATCATTTTTATTATACAATATAGTTATATATAAGTCTATAATAATTGACAAGTGAAAAATAAAATTAATAAGAATCATTGAAAACGTCTTGTACATATTTCCATAAAGGTCGATTTATAAATTTGCCGCTGACGTTGCCGTTGTAAGATAAATACGCAGCGAAGATATGCGTCGTTTATGTCATCCGTTGACATTGCCGTTAGAAGTTCGCACGCCGTTGGGGTAACGTTCGAGATCAACAACTTTTAACTTTTGCCGTTACGTTGCCGTTGAAGATGGGTTTTCAACCACTCAAATTGCGGTAGTCTGCAGTGGTTGAAGGAAAATCCCCTGAAGTAGGGAGGACATTTTTCTGGTTGACAGCTTCCAAGAAAATCAAATTTTATTGACGTTTAAGATTTATTGCTATTCATCTCAAAAAAAGATAGTTATTACAACTACAAGGGCTTACATTTTACTCTTTTTTCTTAATATGTGTAATATAGTCTTCTTTTCACAACAAAAAAGATAAAACATGTTTAAAATGGTAATTTTTTTAGGAAAGTATCGATTTTGCAGTTACGCTCCGCCCGTCGGTCTGACAACGAATGAAAAATTAAGCACGATTGAGATCGAGACGGATGGGTGGGGCTTCTCTTTTGGTTTTCTTTTTTAATTAATACATTTAGTTTTCTTTGTATAACACGATTACTTAAGAAGATATTTCACATAGTGATTTCTCCTAGAAAAATAAGGATTTTACAATTAAGCTCAGCCCCTCGGCTCACGACGAATAAAAAAATCATCAGAATTGAGATAAGGCAGCTGGGCGGGGCTTATATTCTGCATTTTTTTTCTTAATATACATGGCCATCTTTTCACAGCAAGAAACTGAAAACATGATAAAAATGGTATATTTTTGCAAGTAAATATGGATTTTGCAATTATGGTGCAAAGCCTAATTGCAAAATCGATATTTTCTCATACAAATTTTCCATTTTAAACATGTTTTAAGTTTTTTGTTGTGAAAAGAAGTCTACGCATATTAAAACAAAAAAGCAAAATGTAAGAACGCCCACCCGGCCTACCTCAATTGTGATGATTTTTTTTTATTCGCCAAGAACCAAGAGGGGGGGCGGAGCTTACCTACAAAATACTTATTTCTTTACAGGAAATTAAAAACATGCTCTTGAGTATCGCGTTTTTCAAAGAATACTATGTATATTAAAAAAAAGGCAAAATATAAACGCCTCCCACCCACCCCATCTCAATTGTATTTGTTTTATTTTTACAAACTTAAAACTCGTTTAAAATGGTCAGTCAATTTTTGTAAGGAAATCTGGATTTTGCAATTAGGCTCCGCCCCTAGGTCTGCCAACGAATGAAAACTGCATTACTATTTCCATTAGGGCAAGTATGGGTGGGGCGTAATATTTGGCTTTAATTTTTTCTTAACATACGTAGTCGTTTTTTCAGAACAAGAACCCTAAAACATGTTAAAAAGGTTAAAATCTTGTAGATAAATATGGATCTTGCAATTACGCCCAGCCTCCTCCTCTGACAACGAATGAAAAATTCATCACAATTGAGAATTGAGATCGGGCGGGTATGGGTGGGGCCTAATCTTTGGCGTTAATTTTTTCTTAATATACATACTATTCTTTGAACAACACGATACTCAAAAACATGTTTTTCATTTCTCGTAGAGAAAGAAGGATTTTCCAGTTAAGCTCCCTTGGATTACGACAAATAAAAAAAATCATCACAATAGAGAAAGGGCGGGTGGGCGGGGCTACATTTTGTCTTTGTTTCTTAATGTGTGTAGACTTATTTCGATAATAAGAAACTTAAAACATGTCTAAAATGTTAAATTGTTGTAGTAATGAATTTAAATCCTCCACTTTTTTTCTACAACCCTTTAAATACGGCAAAAGTTGAACATCAAAATTACTATCAACGGTAACTTGGCAACGGAGTTTATAAATGAGAATTTTCAGCTCTAAAAGCAACTTCAGCGGAAACTTCAACGTCAATAGCAATTTTATAAATTCCACTTAAAGGCGTGGATTTTTTCTATCTTTATTGCAAAGTCAGCCTGCATAATTAAAAAAGAAAAAATATATAAAATTGAAACATCTAATGCTGTTAGTTGACAGATGCTAAAAAAATTGTTCAGATGGAGACATTTAAAAAATTAAGTATTTATGTGAACGACTGAAAAAACAAAAACAATGTAGTAATTATTACCCTACAAAAAAAAATTCGACAGATTGATTTCATTTTCTTTTAGTTTCCGCATTCGTCCCTTATTAGTAATTTTTCCAGCACGACCGTGAGGGTTTGGTGGGAATGGCGAACAGCGGTCCTCACACAAACAGCTCCCAGTTTTACATAACGACAGTTCCTTGCTCACATTTAGACGAAATTAATGTAGTTTTTGGAATCGTAAGAAAAGGATTCAATATAGTAATAGAAATGGCGGAGGTTCCACGTGATATCGATGTCCCATTAGAAGTATGTTTTAAAAACAGGTGAAAGTCATGCGCTATCAAGCGGTTCCATTTTAGCCCATAACGATAGAAAACTGTGGTGAAATTAAACCAGGAGAGAGTTGGTGTATAGAAGAAAAAGACGGAACGGAGGACGTGTACCCTCCGTGGCCCAACGACTGGGACGTGAACACGGAAGAAGAGGAAGTAATAGAAAATGCAATAAATAAAATCAAAGATTCAGGAAATTATTTTTTTAATGAGAACAATTATGTAGACTCAGAACGAAAGTATATTAAAGCGCTGAGGTATATCGACTGGTTCATAGGACTCAATAGGAATAGCAATCGCAGCAGAGTGTACGAAGTAAGGATCAATTCTCTGTTGAATCTTGCTGCTGTTAGGTTAAAGAGACACAAGTACAATGAAGTTATAGACTTATGTAGCCAGGTTGGATAGTTGTGCGTTTCTTTTGCGTATAATAAGTTAGTTTTTTTTAGGTTATATTAAAAGAGCCAAATAACGGCAAAGCCTTTTATAGGAGAGCTCAAGCCAGGTTGGCCCTCAGAGACTATGACAAAGCCCTCAAAGACTTAAATGTTGCAAGTAGCCTTCACCCAAACGACAACAACATTCAGGCAGTATTAAACGTGGCCAAGAAAAAGAAACTGAGTTATTTGCAGCGAGAGAAGCAATTTTATGGCAATTTTTTCAAGTAATTTTTTTTTAATTTTAAGATAATATTGGTTACCTAATGCACATTTCCAAGTTGGTTGTTTGATTTTAAGCTTGTTGCAATAGTGTAGTTTATGTTTCACATTTTTGTATCATGGCCAAGTAGTGGTTAAGTTTCCCCTTTTGGAAACAAAACTGAAAATTTTGTGATTTTAAAATGTTAACGTTCTTTTAGTTGAAACGTTGAAATTGATTCCATCAGTATTTTCTAATGGTCCAAAAGAATTGTGTTCTATCAGGAGTGGGATTGATCTCATTTTCGTTTTTGACAGTGTTCTATTCGGTATCGAAATTTTGTAAGATTAGCAATAAAGTGTTCGCAGTTTTGACTTTTTTTCATCGAATATTGCAAAATTTGGTACTTAAGTGTCAGTTTTTGCCATGTGTTAAGACCTGAAGGTATTAGGCGGTTGATAAACAAGTTTGTAACTTTATGACTGAAAAGCTCAAAATATTTTTTTAGTTAAGTTTGTATTTTAATTACAAATGTTGTTATGATTTAATAAAGTCTACGATGTGATAATGACTCAATTTTTTTTTTTTTGTAACGGGTAGAGATGGTCATCTTCTCAGAAAATACGATACAATACAGAATAAACAAGACATTCAATTATGGGTTGCCACAAAAAATGTAGAAAGTAACATTCCATAAGATTTCGGACCTTCACATTTATCAAATTTGCTCAATAGATGTCGATGCATTTACTTTTGAACCAAGGCAATTGAGCGCATGGAAAAATTACTAAAAATCACGAAAAGAAGGCCCAGAATCTATGAAAACTGAACGAAACTCTTTATTTTCTCAAAATCGTGTGCCTTATTCTTTAAGACCATAGACCAAAAAATTAAGCACGTGGGGAAAGTGGCAAAAATGATAAAAAGCTTACACATTTTATAAAGTTCCCTTATTTGTGACACCGCAAAACTGTTCTAAAAAACCATAGACCACCAAAAATTGGGCATATTCATATTACATGAGGTTTGCCTGTAGTGTAGACGGTTAAATTAATCATTTTAGAAAGGTGGCGTATAGATTTGTTCAAGTTGACATAAAATATATGCTTAAAATAATCATGAATTTAAGGGATAGAGAAGGAGGGAACAAAACGAAAACTAAGAAAACACAACTCAAAGCATATTTCAACATTTATTAAAGCTTAAAAATTGCATCACTTTGAAGGTGTAGGTCAACGAAATTTTGTACTTTATGCACACAAGAAAAGCTTATTCAATAAGAAAGCTAACCGTGTCAGTGAAATAAAGCTAAATTCTGTAAGAAAAACGTGGAAAGTAAAACCTACATTAGTTGCGTCACATCATAAATATACACACCAAGAAATCTCGCATTTCCAAACTATCGTTAAAATAATTTAATAACAAAAATAGCACTTAACATTAACTTTGTTAATTCGACATATTCTCTATTTCTTGTCTTTTTGCGGTATCGGTGACCGTGATTTCAGTAGTCGTTTCGCCCATGCAATCAGCCTTCGTTTCTGAAACGGTTTTAATAACCCCATCCACTAAGTTATCGGCGTATTGCTGTAATTCGGTGTTTACCGAGTTGTGCGAGCTGTCCTTTTTGCGCTGACTTACCGGCAAAGGCAGCGACGACGGGCGAGTTTGCTTTTGGAAGGGGAAGTTTTTTCCGGCCTCACCCTTTGGTACAAAACGTTATCATTCAAAACGAGCAAGTAAATCAAAAGTTACGTACTTGAGGTGTGTGAACTGCCACGATTTCCGTCTGAGTGGCTATGCCGTTCTCGACGAGAGGTGGCGCAATCGAAGCTGCCTGACTGAAAACTGTCATAACTTTTATGATGTCTTGCATTGAGCTTTGCAGTTGCTGAATCTGGAAAAATCAAAGAAATATGTAACGATTTTCTCGTCAGCTAACTCTTAGCCCGTTGAGAACTCGAAGATACCAAACCTGACACATTTTTTTTTATTTTTGCTTTATTTTTTTTCTAATTTATATCTTTCTTTCTTTCATCAATATCCTATGTATAATTGTAGGTTTGATTAATTGTGTACTTTCTGGCTACTTTTCTATGTGTTGGCAATAACCTACAGTTTTACTTTATTAAGCATTTATTTTCTTTTGTTGTATTTTTCGAACCTTTCGTCTGGATCCTTGCCGAGTTATTTATCCTTTTCTACCCTACACCGTATTTGAAACAACGCAACTACAGCATTCTGACTTCTACTAATTTTAAAGGTAAATATACCTTTTAAGTACGTAATGGTTTTATTTTGCTCTGTTTCCACAAGTTTATTTTTGTGGATGTCACTAGATCAGATTATACGTTTCCGGTACTTGGTCAAATTATACACCTTGTAGTACTCGATTATTATCAATCAATTATTATTTACAGTATACAGATTGTGCTGGCGGCGTTAAATATGAAAACTAGTACTCTGATTGAATCTGATAGTACGGAACTCTGTTTTTTTTCCAGTAGATTAATGTGGTAGTACCACGTAAGAATTTTAGACGTGGAGGGCATTCAATTTACTGATTAATAATAAATAAAATTAGTGTTATTTCTGCATCAGCACCAATAAAGTACTTGTTGATTGTTGTAGTACTATTCGTATCAGGATCTTTTTACATCTACACAAACACCTTCATAGTACAAAAACAAGTACGTATCCAGGTCGAAATTCTTTCAAATTATTTCAAAAATTGGATACATGGGGAGTCCTAAGAGATTCTTTCAAATTACTTCAAAAACCAGACAAAAGGGGTCCCCGAGCTTCTTTCAAATAACTGGAAAACTACTTCAAAAAAGGATTTTTTTAAACTACTTCAAAAATTAAACACAAGGGGTCCCCGGAATTCTTTCAAACTACTTCAAAACAAAAACAAAAGAGATCCTTGAGACTCTTTCACACTAGTTCAAAACCAAGACAAAAGGGGTTCCCAAGATTCTTTCAAATTACTTCAAAAACCAGACACAAGGGGTCCCCAAGTTTCTTTCAAATTACTGCCAAAACAAGACAAGGGATTCTCAAGATTTTTTCAAAGTACTTCAAAAACAAAACAATAGGGGTCTCTGAAACTCTTTCAAACTATTTCAAAACCAAAACAAAAGGAGTCTCTGAGATTCTTTCAATTTACTTCAAAAACCAGACATAAGAGGTCCTCGAGATTCTTTCAAACTACTTACCTCAAAACTAAAACAAAAGGGGTCCCCAAGATTCTTTCAAACTACTTTAAAACTAAGACAAAAGGGGTTCCCGAGATTCTTTCAAATTACTGCAAAAGCAAAACAAGGGATTCTCAAAATTTTTTCAAACTATTTCAAAAACAAAAGAAAAGGGGTCTCTGAAACTCTTTCAAACTACTTCAAAAACCTGACACAAAGGGTCCCTGAGATTCTTTCAAACTATTTCAAAACCAAAACAAAAGAGGTCCCCGAGATTCTTTCAAATTACTTCAAAAACAAAATAAAAGAAGTCCCAGAGATTCTTTCAAATTACTTCAAAAACCAGACATAAGAGGTCCTCGAAATTCTTTCAAACTACTTCAAAATCAAGACAAAAGGGGTTTCCAAGATTCTTTCAAATTACTTCAAAAACTAGATGCAAGAGGTCCCCGAGATTTTTTCAGCTTGCTGCAAAAACAAGTCAAGGGATTCTCAATTCAGAAAAAAATATATAAAAATATACAAGGTGTCAATCAAAAAAGTAAAACTAATAAACATATTAATTTTTCAAATCAGATCGTAGTAACACATGATCGAACAAAACCTTCTCCAGTCAGCCATGGAAGTATTATTTTTTTAAATTGTTGGCAAAATCTGCACTGTCACGAGTTAATCATTTTCAAGTTTAGGGAAATTGTTGAAAAATGTTTCTATGCATCGAATTAAAGAGTAAGTACAACTATTCACCGTTTTCTTGCTTGTTGACGCCACTTTGGTAATAACTTTGGATAATAAAAATTTTATGCAATACAAAAGTCAAAGTGACCAGAGACTTTAAATATGTACATATTTAAACTCTCTGAAAGTGACAAGTAACTTCAATGGAAAACAACAGTACTGACACCACAGTTAAAAAAAATAATCCCATAGCTGACTAGACAACGTTTTTTTTTTCGATCACACGATGGTATATTTGAAACTATACTCGAAAAAATAAGGCCACTATTCCCTTTTTATAAACTGATTCGTCGTATAACTTTTGTTTTTGTTTCTGTTAACAACGTAAAATTCGTCAATAATCCTCTTCCATGACTTCATTTAAGATTTTCATTATTATTAGAACAGCTAGTTACCAGTGGCGGCTCGTGACCTTTTGAAATGGGGGGGACACAATTTGTTTGATGAGTTAAATATGAAGATATAAAGCAGACGATTATTACCAATTAATAGATGCAATTGTGACGGAAATAAATACACAAATACACTCAGTAAAAGTAAAAAGTATTTGTCCACATACTTTTTTGCTTTCTGTCAAAATTTTACATTGAGAATGGAGAGAGAACGGTATGTAATATACCAGTGAACACTACAAATAATCTCTCGACTTCCCACCTAGTGATATGGTTATTTTTAAAGGCATCTGTATATTTATCTAAATTCAATGTTTTCTGCATTTTTAAAGCCGTAGTTTTCGCATTATTTATTTACTTTCCATATTGTAATAGGGCCCATCTTTTGAACGGTTACTTTTGTACTTGTGTTTTACTCCTGTACTTGCGGTTTATGTGTCCGCCTTAATTTTTTAATTAGAGGAACAATGGTCCATCAGCTCAGTTGGTTAAAGCGTCGTGGTAATAACGCGAAGGTAGCGGGTTCGATCTCCTCATGAGCCATGTTTTTTTTCTTAAACTGTGACTGGTATTATCTATATGTTGTTTATAAAAACTAGATTTGTTTGACTGTACTCTGACGGGTAGGGTAATTTATTCGAATTTGGACTTTATAACCGCACTGTTTTTTTACTCAAATGTTTTTTCAAATTAATTTTTATTTTTCAAACACATTGTATAGATGTTATTAGTTATGTTAGATTAAGTTTAAAAATAACTAACAGAAGTTGAATTACTGGTTGCCTGTTTTCCGAAATTACTTGAACAAAAAAATTGACACTGATTTTGCAGTTTTTTAAGACTACTATTCAAGATGAAAAAACACTGTATGTGTAACAGACACAGAAAAATCTAATATATAAGGTGAGATTTGCAATATCTGTATTCATTTTATTTCTAAGCAGGCCGATACATTTGATATTTTTTAGGAAACATATTAGAACAAAAGCAATTATTGTTTTATCAGTTACTTGTAAAAATATTCGTCTTGTATAAAAAAAAACTGATAATTTTTTCAGCTTCTACGGTTTTTCAAAAATCTACTTTTGAATTGTTTGGGGACCAATTTGTACCCTAACATCAATAGTTTCGTCTGTACTAATCCAGGTGTAATTGTCTACAATCAAATTCAATATTATGTAGCCATAATTTCTTGGAAAATTGTACATATTTTGTAATCATACTTAGATTCCTCAGGAATACAAGTTTTATAACGGGTGTCTGGAAAATGGCGGATTAACTCTCCGCTACGGTCTTAACAATCAATTGTTGAGTCTGGCAAAAATGGTAAAAAAATTCCTTCTTACATTTTGGTGGAGTTACAATGATTTTAAAATCAGTTCTTTTGTTACGTTTAACAACTAAACAACACATTCACTATCACAATAACTAGTAATAAAACTTTTAGTTAATATTTCTCTCGTCCATGACCATATTTAATTACCATTTCAGTTAGAATGCACAAAGATATGGTTGTCCCCTGGTTTTTTATTTTCGGATAAATTTAAAGGAATCTGGTGTTTTGATGCTGGATGAACTTGAAAAAATCTTTTGAGCTTTTAGTGTTTTACTTTTTACGATTTTGAAAAAGTCTTGAGTGCCGCAGTGTTTGCGTACCCATGGTGTATTATTTTGGGAGCCCTTGAGCATTTTTTTTGTAAATTATTTAAAACAATTTTAGGGGACTTTGGTATTCTACTTTTGGAAAATTCTGACCTCACCTGTTTTTGAGTCAATTTTGGGAGCGCAGTTTTTTTTTTTTATTTAAAACAATCTTGAGGTTCTAGGTATTCCTCTTTGGAAAGTGCTTTGGAGCCTTTAATGTCTTTACTTATAATAAATTAATTAAATTTCTTTGAGAATACGTCATTTGCTAAAATCAGTCTTATCTAAGCAGCTACTAGCCCCGTCCACCCACCCTCCCTCTTAAAGAGTATGTCATTTGGCAAAATCAGTTTTATCTTAACAAGTACCTACGGATGACTAACTTTTACAAACAATGGTCCAAATTTGGAAACATCACGAGCTTACTTATACGCACAAGGAAGGTATTTTGAACGTCTTCTCTAGTGTTTAGTTGGTTATGCTTTAATGGATTTTTTTTTTGTTGGTTTTGTTTTTGTTTATAATTTATAAATGTCTTATTAAATGTTTTTTTTTTGGTTTATTAATGAAAAATAACAGCTTGTTTTATTAATAATAGTGCACCACCATGAATGACTTTTTGGGACTCCCGAAACCCCCGTACATTACGTATTGAAGAGTAAACCCGCCATTTTCCAGACACCCGGTATACTTGATACGAAATTCTCTCAAAAATGAATTTTTGAATTTTTTATAGAAAGTAGAGATTCAAAACCCCTACATAAATGCGTTCCGCCCCCGCGTTGATTTGCTTGGTGTTGCTATGTGTAAAATTTAATTTGCAGCAACGCAAAGTCAACTTGAGAGAAAAAAATTACAATCACACAATTACTGTGAAAACAAAGAACGAGGTTCATTGAATAAATAATTTTCCTTCTGGGACCTGAAATGTTTTGACAAGTCTTATCCGTCAGGACAGTAGAAATTTTTTTTTCAAGACTCGTCCTGAACCCAACCGTGTTGGTGAAACATGTCAACATTTTGTGTCAAGCTTGGTACCAACGATTAAACTAAATCTACTACTTGCCTGGCTTTGTAAAACAGAACATGTTTTAGCTAATTCTTTAACAACTTCGGCGTTATCGGCTGATAAACTTGTCATGTTAACACTACTAGATTGTCCACTGCCCGGCTGTAAAGCCGACATCTGTTTCCACAAAGCGCTAATAGCTTCCGTCTGCAACATCTGTATCTTCCTCTCGCTTTCCAAAGCCGCTTTCGTAGTTTCCATATCTGTCGTCAACTGTCTACAAAACTACGACGTTAAACACTCCCGAACACCTACATCCAACTTACTGTATATATTGACTAGCCCTCTGCGCCTGCAAGGTCCTAAAAACTTCCTGCACTTCTTTGTTTCGGTTTCTCGTAAAATAGCCTCTCCAGACCTTCTGGATGCACACAGCCGCTTGTTCCACCTTGTCCTCAGCGCTGCTATTGCTAACAACTTCCGTATCTTTTTGATGCAAGCGTTTCTCTTCAGCTCTCATCTGTATCATCTGCAACTTCGAGACGCAAACCTCGGACTCGTCGTCGCTACTTAACGACTTTCGCAAAATTGAAGACGTTTTGTTGCAATTTTCTTTGCTGGAAACGAAAAAGCACCTGCTCGAAAATTATGCCAAAATCGTGTCAAACTCACTTGGAATTGATTTGGTGGTTGATAACTTTCCGGGCTCTAGCAGGTGACGACGAATTGCTTTTCCTGCCGTCGCTGCTAATGGGCGTTCTGTTTTTCGCCTGTAAGCTTCTGGGCAACTTAGGCGACCGTGTTGTCGGCGGCAGTTTATTTTTTATGTTCATTGAACCCAACGAACTGTTTGCGTTGGGTTTGCCGACTATTGGCGCTGGACGGTAGTCTGGGCTCATCAAAGATTCTGGTACCGGCATCATTTTTGATAAGGCTTGGAGAGGACTGTTGACGGGTTCTTCGTCTATAAATAGGCGTTAGATGATTTTACTGTCAGTCTAAAATAAGATAATTGTGCTTAGGTACCTAAACATCGTTCTTGTACGATGGGTTGGTTATCTCCGCATGCTTTGGATGGGGTAACAGTTTGTCTTAAGATTGTCGGATCTAAACTTTGACTCATAATACTAGAGTTTTCCATGACGTTTGCAGTCCCGTAACAACTGGACGACATACGGTCTGGAGATTTTAACTTATTGCCAATTCGAGCAGCTGCAAATAAAACAATTAATTACAACAATCGTAAAAATAACTACGTATTTCGTTACATGACTGCGTAGTTTAACACAAATCTCAGGCGATTTTAACGAGTGTCTGCGAATATGAAGTTTGTTCGCAACTAGACGCTAGTTGAGTTGAGTACAAAGTATTATCTTGGCTTTCAGAATTTGTTTGAAATCAATTTAAATAAACAAAAAAATGTGATAAAAAATGGGTGCGATAATCTAACTAATCCCAGTTTTGTCTGCGGGCATGGTTAAATGAATGCAATAATCTAATGTCATTTAACACCAAATGAAAGTAAATAGTGTTAAAAAATACCTCAATACATTTAAAAGCAACGTCATGGGATATATCAAAAATAATTTTTATTTCTGAGAGGGAAAATAATACAATGTTCATCAAATCACTTCGTGTGCGTCCAATTATTTTAATTCAAGATTCTTTTCTGTTTCTATCTTTAGTTCAATTAAAACCGATACAGTTCTTGGTATTTAAGTTTTTGGCAAAAATATACAAGACGTACACCGAAACGCTGTCTTATTATAACAAAATCGGTCCTTCCACACTTTTGTACAAATTATTTAACACCATGTTCACAACTCACCGATTACATTACAAGGTGGTAATTAAGACAGTCAATATAGGAAAAAAAATTAGCATCAAATCAGGTGGTATTCAATACATTAATAGAAGAAATTTACATTAACAAAAGTTACAAAAATTGTCAAATTTCTTAAAATAAATTTTACTATGAAGTAACTAGATTTGAATACGCAATTAATTGTGTTAATAATTCATCATAACCATCTTGACACGAAAATTAAATTAATTTTTACCATACAAAACTTTTTCACAAAATATGACAAACCAAATGAACGTTAATAAAACATTAACTGAAATCAGATCGTAGTAGGTATATTTAAAACGATTTAATTTGACTTATCAAAAAAAAACATTTGGGCCCCCCGACATGGTTTTACATTTTTAAAAAAGATAGTTGGAAACCCCGAGAAGGTTTCACAAGAAAAGACACTTGGCGCCCCCGAGAAGGTTTTGCATTATTAAATAAGAAGTAGGATAACATCATCAATAACAAAATTGTTATGACGTCATAAACACAAATAATACACAATGCGAGAGAAAAAGAGAAAAAAAAAACGAAAAAACGAAAGGCCAAGTTTGGAATCGAACGCGTGACGTCCGGTCCGTAACCACTAGACCACGATCAGGATGCCTTGCGCTAATGGTTCTGATTTCGGTCTGGTGGCAGCAACATCGGAGCATTCGGAGCTCCGATTCGGCTTAAAAATAGAATGTGTTCGCGAATGTTTAATTTGGTGTTAATAAATATTAGTGAAAATGTTTTGCCTTAGTGCTGTGAACATGAAGGAACGTGGATATTTTTCCAAAAAGGCTCGAAGACGGAGTACGAAGGATTTGAGTTTTAATTCACCGGAGTCTGTAATTTGTATTTTCATAAATCTCTAAATTTTTGGGAAATTTTAGAAGACGATTTATTTAAGTTGGGCAGTCAAAGCGGATAGCTTTTCCGAGGAATAAATAATATTTAAACATAATTAATATTATTTCTACTGTTATAATATATACAGTAGCGGTCATTTCTACGGAACCACTCGATAAAAAGTCAAGTTGGTAGCCCTGTCATCTAGTACTTTACGCCGAACGCGGTTGGTAGCGGTAGTTGATATGGCAATCGAAACTACCACAACACGAATGTTTCGGTTGCCCTCAGCTATGCCTCACTGTATCTCGTGCAGACTGTATGTTCTGTTCATCTGTTTATTAAAATAAAATATCTAGATTGACAATGGGGCCATCTAACCTGTCAAATTTTTGACACATATGTTTTCCCCCAGAAACCCATCAAGGTCACTTACACCAAACAAATTTTGAAAATTTACACTAGGGAGTGGTTCTATAGAAAAGATCGCGACTTTATAATAAGTATTAATATGTCATAGTTGAATCGAAAACCTACAGACGTGACGTTATTATAAACAATTCAATTTGTTTAAATATTGTTAAATTAACCCCAAAAAGGTGCAATTTTCCGACCAAAATAAGAAAAAGAATTTCTGCAATCTCATCGTGACGTACGATGATGTCACTGTCACGTGCGCTACCTGAGCCAAGGTTACATTCTTCCGTCTTTTGCGTTCAGTTTTGATTTCGGTGTGGTGGCAGCAACATCCGAGCATTCAGAATTCCATTTCGGCTTAAAAGTAGTACGTGTTCGCGAATTTTTAATTTATTGTTAATAAATATTAGTGAAAATGTTTTGCGAAGGAATGTGGATATTTTCCCAAAAAGGCCCGAAAACAGGGTAAGTACGATGTGAGTTTTAATTTATCGGCGTCCGTGATTCGTATTTTGACAAATCTCTAAATTTTTGGGAAATTTTTGAAGACGATTAAAGTTGGCCCGTCAAAGCGGATAGCTTTTCCGAGGAATAAATAATATTTAAACATAATTAACATTATTCATACTGTTTAAAAATGATAAGTATTAATATGTCATAATTAAACCGAAAACCGTTTTCCTACAGACGTGACGTTATTATAAACAATTCAATTTATTTAAACACTGTTAAATTAACTCCGAAAATGAGCAATTTCCCAGCTAAAACATCAAAAATAATTTTTGCAGTTTCATCATGACGTTGGATAACGTCACTGTCACGTGAGCTACCTGAGCAAAGGTCACATTTTTCGGCCCTTTGTGTTCAGTTTTGATTCCAGTCTGGTGGCAGCAACATTTGGGCATTCGGACCTCCGTTTCGGCTTAAAAGTAGTATGTGCTTGCGAATTTTTAATTTATTGTTAATAAATATTAGTGAAAATGTTATGCGTTAGTGCTGTCAACACGAAGAAAAGTGGATATTTTTCCAAAAAGGCTCGAAGACGGGGTTTAAATATGATAAGTATTAATATGTCATAATTAAACCTAAAACCGTTTTCCTACAAACAACAAGTTATTAAAAACAATTCAATTTGTTTAAACGTTATTAAATTAACCAAAAATGTGCAATTTTCCGGTCAAAATATGAAAAATAATTTCTGCAATCTCATGGTGACGTACGATGACATCACTGTCACGTGAGCTACCTGAACAAAGATTGCGTTTGTCGGTCCTTTGTGTTCAGTTATGGTTCAGTCACAGAGTACACAGACAAGACACATACCCACTTTGAGCAAACGTGACCCTTATTGACGACTTACCTCAACCGTCACTTCATACGAGCGATTTTTAAACGCGAGGACTGCCACTTTACAACACAATCTCTGATAAAAGCTAACATAATGTTAAAAAAATACATCAACAGAAGTCACAGTAATTGTGTTTAACTTACTAAAATAATAAAGGCGTTCATACGTACGTTCATAGTTAAAAAAAAATATGAACAAGCTAAAAAATTTATGAGTGCTATTAATTAAATTTATATATCTTAAATGTGAGTGAATGATTATATTGTATTGTATTGTGTATTCTGTCGCCGCAGGACTCGCAGGAGTGGGTTGCACGTCACACGTCTTGGTCGGACCCATTTTGAGGTTATATGTGGTTATGTTGTCAACCCAAAGCAAGGAGGTTTAAATGTATATATGTACTTATATTCAATATCTCTGACCCGAAGTGTCAAAATTCTAGTTTTACTAGTTACATTCTCCTAAAAGTTTTCACGAAACAGGATAGCCACTACAGCATTTTGCAAATTTTTAAACGGAATCAACGTCATTCTTACCTCAACCGTCATTTTCCTGTGTTCAAGGGCAAAATGATTGAAATCGACTGTTTGGATTCTTGAATTAAATACTATATTCGTTTGTTAGTGGTGGGACAGTGTCTTGTCTGTGTAATCTGTGGTTCAGTTTTGATTTCGATCTGATGGCGACAACTTCGGCGTGTCGTTTTGGCGTAAAAGTAACGCGTCTTTGCGAATTTCTAATTTATTATTAATACATATTACCGAAAATGTTTTACGTTAGTGCTGTGGACACGAAGGACATTTTTCAAAAATGCCCGAATTTTCTTTTAATTTATTTTAAAAAATATGAATCAGATCACGGCATTCAGGATTATAATGTACGGCATTAGAATATCCAAAGTACTGCGTTCATAATTCAGAAAATGCCATGTCCATCATTTTAAAAGAACGGTTTCGAAATTTATAAAGTGCGGCAACCAACATCTATAAAGTACGGCGTTCATAATTTACAAAATGCGGTGTTCTTCACCAGTGTTAGCAAACCTTAATCATCTCTTTTCATGGAAAGACGTGCTCCAGCCCACCTCGTATTGTTTGGTCCTTGCCGGGCAACAGCAACGAACGAGAACAGTCATTGCTCTTTGGCGGCAAACGTGGAGTAAAATATATGTATATTGTAGCTTTTGTAATTGAAGCACATTGTACTGTATATTGTATGTATTACTAACTTAACTTCGCAACAGTGGGTCTTCCTAATTTAGCTCCAGTGGTGTAAATGCTTTGTGGGTTTTCATGGTGTACTTGCTTGGGTATTAATTTTACAACAGTGCATCCTTTGGTTCCGAGTCTGAATTCTCCATGTCGTTAGACGCTCTTGGCCTGGGGACGGTCGTTGCCCTCATTCTATGAGAATGAGATCAGACGGCCTTGGATTTATGCGACTGGGTTCTTCCCTTGGGCGTGGGAGTTCTGCGATCCTATAGTTTTCGTCCGAGTTCCATCGGTGTGCTTGCTTGGGTATTCATTTTGCAACATTCATATCTCTTTTCTTAAAGAGGGTCGCAGCTTTTGATGCTAAAAATTTCTTCATGTGATGTATGTGCTTAGGTACTAACTATGCAACTGTATTGTATCTGTAGTGTATCTGTACTCTATCCTGTATTTTATTTGTAGTGTATCCCCTATTGTAGCTGTATCGCATCTAGATGCACCTATATTGTATATTGTATTTCTATTGTACTGTACTGTATAACGTTCTATCCCTCATTAACAAATCCTAGCCCTCTCCTTTTCCGGCAAGACCTGCTCCAGACCTTCCCGTGGTTCTTGCTGAGCATCAACGATCCAGGCCAAAAAATTCAAATATTTAGAGCCAGCAAAGTTGCCCAAAATTCGTGAAATTCGCTCGTTGGTGGCCAACGTGGAGCAAGGGGGACTTTTGTAACTGAAGCATTTATACTGTTTAAATATGACAAGGATAAATATGTCATAATTAAACCGACAACCGTTTTCCTACAAACATGAAGTTATTAAAAACAATTCAGTTTGTTTAAACATTGTTAAATTAATTAATCACTTCGTAAATTTACTCTACAATATAAAGTTTTATTCTTCTTAAGTATTTTTCGTCTCTAGTTTGTAAAAAATCATGTTTGTTAATTTTAAGGAGTCTATCTGCTGATGTATGATCAGCCACCAAATAGATACACTTTTTCACACCAGTAGGGTTGAGATAGATGAAAATGCGACATCGACATCAGGAATACAAGATAAACAAAATAGAAAACAAAAAGTCACTACTGACGTCGAACACAAACAAAATTGCCCATAATTTCACAGTAATAATCAACTTTGGATTGTTTTATTGGACAAACCAATTAATACTGATTAGTCTGACATTTTTTTTTAGTTCACCCAAATTCCGCCGTATGCGAATTACTGATTTATAGGTTACTTTATTTAACTAAAACACCAAACTCGGCAGTAACTCGAATCCAACTTATTTATTCATGAAACCGAATAAATATTTTTGCGCAAAATAATGTAGAATTGTATGACAAACGTTGTTAACGAGGTTTCAAATCCTGTTTTCCGGGTGCATTCGCCAATTTAGAACGTCAATCACTGCTAACATCGTACACATATTACCGAAGAAACATATTGTATGAGGGTGATTGTAAAATAAATTTACTCAGTTAGGAGTTTTTTTTTGAGGCACCCCGTATAAGCAACTCTAAAAAATACTATTGTGTATAAAATTAAAATTATTTTAAAATACAATTCAATGAAATGACATCATCAAATTGTTGGAGGGGATGATTATCCAAATTTTGGGAAGCAATTAACCATCTGCATGATATTTCTAATATACATACAAAATTTGACAACAATCGGTTTAGCAGTTACCAGATTACTTGTCTAATAAAAATGGATGCGGACACCAGACAGACAGACGGACGGAAACGGGAGACATTTTTTTTCGTACTGTAGGGGTCACGAAACGTCGAGAAAACATAAAAGTGGCATTTCGTCCGATGGACTTGATTACTATACTTCCTTAGCTTACGCTCGGGAAGTAAAAATAATAAATGACATAATTAATTTTACTGAGTAAATAAAAAATGGTTATCTACATAATTTCCCCTATTATAGAATAAATAAGATTTACAGAATAACCTTCAATAATAATCTATATAAAAAACTGGGCTTGGTTGATTGTGCTCCAGTGATGATGGAAGTTCTGTACAAAAAACTTTAAACAAGTTGTTATAGATAATATTATAAAGATATCGTAAAACTACTCACTCAAAGGTAAACAAAAATTACCAAACAATTTTAAACCACTCAGTTATCAACTTCGATTTTTAACTACAGTGATTTGGAATTCGGCGTTGCCACACTGAATCCTTGTAAAAAAAAATTACAGTCCCATTTTCTGTTTCTATGTATAATTAAATGAAAAAAATAGTCAAAGATTATTTCGAGAGAACTTCCCTCCCTCCTGAAGGGCAGCCCAACAATCCCGCAACCCGCGCAAATTCCTAGGGGACGCGGTCCGCACAGCTGCGGACACACGAAATATATTGTTCATCCAAAAATTTAAAAAACCACCACCTCCTCTAGGGCTTATTTTTACACTGGCAAGTTGGTAGTACAAAAAACTTCATATTTGAAATTTCATACCGAAAATCGAAAAATTTTAATTTTTATAATTGTAGAACTGAAAAATCAAAAATTTCAAAGAACCGAAAAATCGACATCGAAAAATTGTAAAACCGAAAATCTAAAAAATTTAAAAATTAAAATATCGAAAAATTGAAAAATCGAGAATCGCAACATCACAAAATCTAAAAGTCGAAAAATTCAACAAAGTAATTGAAAAACTGAAAAATCGGAAATCTGAAATTTAAAATATCGAATAATTGAAAAATCGCAAAATAGAAATGACGAAATTTTGGGAAATCGAAAAATTAAAAAATTGAAAATCCGAAAAGTCGAATAATTCCACAATCGAATAATCGAAAAATGGAAAAACTAAAAAAACGAAAAACTGTATAACCAAAAAATTTAAAATCCAAAAAATTAAAAAATCAAAAATTTTAAAAACTGAAGAATCTAAAACCGAGTAGTCGAATAATCGAAAGATCGAAACATCAAAAAACTGAAAGATCAAAAAATCGAAAAATTGAAAAATCTAACATTTAAAGATCGAAAGACAGAAAAATCTAAAATTTAATCATCGAAGAAATCGAAAAAACGAAAAATTAGCGAATCGAGATATTGAAAAATCCCAAAACTGAAATGTCGAAAAATTGAAGAATCGAAAAATTTAAATCTTCCAAAACTGAAACATCGGAAAATTGAAAAACTGAAAAATAGAGAAAAATTAACGAATCGAGAAATTAAGAAATCGAATAATTAAAAAATTAGAAATGTCAAAAATTGAAAAATCTAACCATAGAGTAGTTGTTATATTATCAGTGATCCTAAGTCAATAAAAATTTAGAATTCTTTATAAAACGGGGGTTCTATTTTTTTGTTTATAAATAGGTAGTACAAATAGGTATGCAAGAATATAATATTCTATTTTCTACCTTGCGTTAACAATAGCCTCATTGTTAAACCGAATACAGTTTAACAATGGAAGCCTTTGTGAAACCGTTTTTGGTAACGTTTTGTTTTGTAATGTGGGTTCCATGTTTTCTAAAACGTCACATCCGCGTCAAATGTAACTGGTCAAAACCCTAACTTTGTCATTTAACAGTATTGCCATACACATAGATCATGTTAAAGAAAAACCCTAAATAATAATCGTAACCAGATTTTATATTTTACTTCATAAAATCATGAGCAAAGTAGAAAAAAAAATGGATATTAAAGTAATGTAATAAATAATATACCATTGTTTGTTGATGTATATAGTTCCAAACTAAGTTTTATTTTTGTAAATAAAATAAAAAAAAAAATGAAAAGGATGTACAAATAAAAAAATAAACTAAAAATATACTCACAATTTAATCTGGGCGAGTGTTTTGCACCATGCAATTTTTTCCTTGTTGAAGGTGACGGATTTGGAGATTCTAAAATAAAACACTAGAAATATTTATCACCAAACTCGAATTAATTCTCACCAATTGACTGTTCTCGCAACTGCTGCTGATGATGCTGCGCCTTACTCAAAATCAACCGCAACTTTCGATCTTCTTCAGTTTCGAGTGCTTCACCAGTTAAAGGACAAACGCTCGCCAAATATTGTACAAGATCCTTCTGATCACCGACCCTAAAATGGCGCCCCCGTCCTTGGGAATATAACCATTCAGCTCTCAAGCTATAAAAAAATAATTTATAAAATCAGACGTGACAGTTCTGACAGAAAAAATACCTTTCAATAGCGTCAACAACATAACCGTCTATAGTTTTAATATTTAAACACCAGTTAATAACAAATGGACGGTAATCAAAGCCACTGTAGTGTTAAGAAAATAAACGAAATTAGTAGCGGCTAAAAGAAAACTCAACTTTAACGTAACACAGAAGATTAAATAAGACACAACCCTAAAGGATACATATTGGTGTTACCGAAGTTAACACATGGATTATTAGCAATGGAGATGCTTGTGAGGTTGACGAGGTTAACTAACTGGGAGATTTCATTCAGATCTTCAATGTTATTATTAGCTAGAGTTAGATTTGTTAGACTAACGGGTAGAAAACGGTCGCTTTGTCTTAAATGATTAATTTTATTATTATGCAGATAAAGCTCCTGAAACACAAAGATAAACACCACACACGACTATCACAAGCATACCTTGAGATTTTTCAAGAACGACAAGTCGCTCACGTGCGTGATATTATTCTCCGATAAATCTAAATGCTCTAAATTTATGTTAGTATTTAAATGCTCAATAGTCTTTATGCTATTCCCTGCCAAGCAAAGCCACTTCAAGTTAACCAACTCCTTCAAGCCTTCTATAGTGAGTATTCCGTTGTGAGCAAGATTTAGAGTATGTAACGAGTGGAGTCTGCATACTCCATACATACGTAAGAGTTGATTCCGGACTGCAGAAAGCTAGAAACACCCATACAAAACCCACTCGTGCACTATACCTCTGGTACCTTCTGCAATCTGAGAAACGAATCGATGTTGTCAAGACGCTGAAGTTCGTTATCATCTAGTATTAACGTGGTCACGGCATGAGTCTCTTGAGGGGTACATTTGTTGAGTTTCTTGAGCTTTTTGTGTGACAAATCCAGAGTGTCTGATCCTTCCTCTACGATACGAGTGTTAATTAATGTTAAACGAAAAATTGAGGTGTGGACATACCCATTTATATCAAATGATTCGCATGGTCCTAAACTATATACTTTTATGACTTTTATTTGAAAATCATTGCTGAATTTTGACAACTTTGACAATTTTGTAAGGTCGATTAACGACAGGACGTGGTCAAACAGGGATTATTGATAAAGGCTTTGGAATTTATTAAATTGCGTGAGACTGCAACTGTTTTTATTGCTTTTATTACGGGAGTAACTAGAGTTTCTTCTGTGTTTACACTAATAATTGATGTGTCAGTGGCGTGCCATAACATTTTTTACGCCAAAATCATGCCAATCGAAAAATCACTAAAATTATATCTGTCAATTTACAGCAGTTTAAAAAAAGCGACAACACGATCGAAGACAGCCATGGATTTTTCAAAATTTGTCTTTGATCGTTAAATTTTCAACTCAAACTTTCAAATTAACGGTAATCTAACAAAACGAAAATTCGATCAAAGACAAGAATCCATGGCTGCCTTTGATCGTGTTTTTTTATTTCCCTCTCGGTAGGAAATGATAGTGAATGTGATGATAAATAATTAACAGACGGTTAACTAGAATGAATTAGAAACTATGTTTTTATATAAAATAAAGTCAAAAGAATCCAGTTTTTACTCCAGTTTTTACTCCAGACATCGAGATTTTTGAGAAAAAATTCAAAATTTTATTTTACAATTTAACTTTAAAATTGTAAAAGCGAATGTACTGAAATATTGCAACCGTTTTAAGGTTACAGGAAAGATGATAAATCGTTAATCAAAATTTGTTCGATTTGGGCCCTCCCAAAAAATCATGACGTCATCTTACAATTCTGCTAAACAAATAGTATTCTTTAAATTTTATAAAATAACATAGTCGTGCATGTGTGATTTATGAATCCGTGTTGACTTTTCACCCTTAGCATCCAGATTTAAAAAAAAGATCAAAATTGTGTAACAATATTTTACAATTTACCTTTGAAACTGCAAAAGCCGAATGACATGAAATCATGCAAATATTTTAAGATCACTTGAAACATGGTCAATCGTTAATATTACATTTTTGTCAAATTTTTTTAGATTTATGAGTGTTTTTGGGAAAACAACTGAGTATGACTGATTAATCAATCAGTCCTTTCCTCTGTGTTGACGACACAAAATCAACCAAATTTCATTTTCTTTTAACAGCTGATGGTTGTAATCTGAATGTGCCGATAGTCGAATTCGATGGAAGTATAAAGATTAACAGTCGAAGTTAAGCATATACTGAGCAATTGAGAATGTCTATATTTTTCCCGTTGCCCGCTTTAAAATAATATGTTTAAATATATTTAAAAACACAGGAGTTGCGGGGATGTCAGTTACGCCACTTTTTAGAACTTAACATTTATCACAAAACGAAAATCGCAAAATCTAATTTTATATGCGTCATGAAAATTCCAAAAAAAAACATAATTTTTTCAAAACGCCGGCAAAACTGAAAATAATAGTAATAATAAATTTCCCGGGGGACCCCCATGTCCTCAATCCCACACTGTATTATCTTACTTTTATTATTATTACTAATATAGAGATTTTGCTTGCAATGCATTTTCCATTTGAAGTTAAAAAGCTGAAAGAAACCATGAGGCAAAATGAAGTGATACATAACCTTAAATTATTTCACACTAGAATATACATATTAGAACCACATTGACAGTGACAACCTGACAACATTGGCACGTGACAGTTGTATTTTTGACGACATTGTGTTGGTGGAGTGGTACTGCAAGAATGTACATTCCTATATGTATGCTGTACTTTTGTAAAAAACTGTAAGTCTTTTTTAATTCTTTACAAAAAAAAGTTGCTAAATTTAGGATTCATCTCGGCTCATTTAATTTTATTAATGTCGGTATCATTCTTATAATAACGACCGAACGTTACGCCACTGGACAAGGTCACAAAAACCGAGTAATTGCGTACTGTTGTTAATTTTCTTGTCACTGACAGTTGACATGACGCATCAGAATAGCCAACTCTCCGCAGGAAGATTTTAATTTCCGATTGAAATAAAATCACAGGTGACATATCTAGTGCTCCAATTCGCCCAGGGTCGAGACACGGTGATGGTGTCTACGTGAAACTCCTAAACGATTAAAATTTTTCGCTTCATTAATAAAACAAATTTTGTTTGTAGTATTGTTTTTCGGTTTGCGTGGTTGGCAGTAGTGTCAGATGATAAATATGGAGTTATTTGCAAATCAAGAAAATGACTTCGTTTTTCTCAAATGATTAAAGTTTATTGATACAAACGGTTCGAAGTACGTATGGTGCAGTCCACCGTCCGTTTTCCCTAATTCAGTGCAATACGAGCCCTTCCAAAACGAGCATTAGTGGTGACAGTTGCTATTTGGTCAACTTCGACCAAAGAAAACTCGGACTGAGAAATTTTCGTTCGGACTTTTCCTCGAAAAAAATCCTAATTATCGGTTTTAAAGTGGCCCTGAATCGTCCAAGCTGGAGCGTCTACCGGAATACCTCCGCGATACCGTGGACTGGTTTATGGGGTGAGTAATAACCAAACCGTTTTAACTAGATAAATCTGGAAAATGACTCCGATTTCAATTACGTCCTTTTACGAGCGAGCTCTAATTAAAATCGACAATGCGTTTATAAGGTTTCGTTTACGACATCGAATCTCATTAAATCTGAACTTGACATGTATTCGCCCTTGTAATGTGGCTAGGTCGGGTGCTAGGTAAGGCCAAAAGTGAGGACACGGTTCGGGTTTTGCCCCTTGATGCTGAACGAACTGTTACATGTTTCTGCAGGTACTGTGGAGTCTGAGCGGTTGAGTTATTTCCATGTTTTGGTTTTAGAAAAGCAAGACGGAAGGAGAAGGAAGGGAATGAGTCTTCGTCCTCTAGCGATTCCAAATTGTATCTAGAAGCCACAGTACTTGAAAGAAAACTCCCTGAAATGGACATGAGGTTGTTAGTAGATTTGCCCGCTGGGTTAGACTATAATGAATGGCTAGCATCACATAGTAAGTATGGAAAGAGATTATGTTCAGGCTTCAACGTTGTACAAGGACATGCTTATCAAATATTGAAGCAATATCTGTAGCCTACTGATTGCTTTGTAAGAAAATTGACGTGATTAAGTCATTACAAAATGTGGTGAAATTATTACTCAATTTTTTGTGGTTACTAATGCTTTTTCTTAATTAGTTCATCAGGAAATGAAAATTTTAAATGGTGTGCAAATTATACTGTGTCAATATATATGATCAAAATCAGTTTGAATAAAAGATAAAAAAAATCAAAATTTGATTAGTTACAATAATTATTATTATCAGAAAACTTAAGATTTTGCCATTATGAGGCGCTAAAGATTGCCAACTTACGAATCTAAACCATTCCTCATATAACACCTTCAGTATTTTATGTAACTGTAGTTTATATTGTGTGTAAAATTCGTTGGACCCCTGTGAGTTGTTATTTAAAAATCTAGATGAATAACCGCCGGTTTTATTTTAAGCGACAGTTAATCAAATGCTTTCCATTGACTTAGTAATAATCTGTCGCAAACAAAAGGGAGTTTTGTATACCGGTTCTTTTGTTTATTTGCATAACTGGACCTTTGGAATTGTGAGAACTGGATCTTCATTTCACGCAAGCGATAATTTAAAATCTGTATTCACTTTTAGAAGAATAGGACTAGCTTGTTCTGGGGCGAAGAACAAACAAGAATTTATGATTAGAGTTTTTATCTTTTATTATGTTTAAAGAATTTCTTTTTTCATAAAGTACTCAAAAGTATTTTTGAGATAAAAGCAAATTAAAAAAATGATACTCGTTTCAACTTTGCACAGTAACTTATTACGAGATATAAAATTTCTGTTAAAAACATGCGTGGGTGTTTGTTTCTGAGACTTCTTTTTTATTGTTGGATTTGATTGCATTATTAAAATTATATATCAAAGTATTTATAATAAAACGTAATTAAGGAAGCTTTTTGGAATATCGTATATACAAAGATTTGAAATTTCACTGTTGCAATTATTAAAAAATACGTTGTAAAATTTAATGTTTGCATTATTACTGTTTCTTTGTTTTCTTTTTTTAGTTTGTTGAGTAATCAAAGTGTGACGCATGAACTACAATGTACGGATGAACTTGAAGACGAAAGTTTTATTAGTGTGTAACTTATGCTCCAGATATTATTTCACAAGCGATATCTGGCTTTAATTGAAAATATCGAAGTGCGATAAAAGCCTCATTTAATTATATATTGCTTAATATTTAAAAAACGTACCTATTTTATTTTTTACAAGTGTCAAGCAAGTGTCGCGTATTGTTTGTAAAAGAAAATTTGTAGACACTTGGCTTATTCAAGGATAAAACATCCTTGCCAACGTGCACTTAAAAACAAGAAAAATAAATAAACGAATGTGATTCCATGTACGAGTAGTACAAGCGATATTTAAGAATTTTGTAATATGGAAAAAAACTTCTAAATTATGGTTCTTAACAATTTACTTGAAACTTCTTTTGTATTAACAGTATATTAACTATTTTTCTTATGGTATAGACGGTAAAACGTCTACAGACATTTGTTATCCACCTCATTCAGAGTTGATGATTGTGTGAAATTGTGTGAAAAATCGATGAGACTCTTATATTAATATAATTATGTACTAACAATTTATGGATTTAATGGTACAAAACGTCAATTAAATGTATTCATTTATCTTCTTAATAAAAGGTCTTGACACCTCTCCAAAGTATGTAACCATGTCCTGATTGTAATTAGGCAATATTTTTTGTGTTTAGAATGGATTTCCTTCATTCATTAAATAAGTCATACGCGACTTATTTGCTTTTCTTCTAGAAACACAGTAATTTATGTCTTGTACGAATTAAAATTAATATATTTGTCCCTAGTAAAAAATTGACTAATGCTATTTTATTAAAAAAAAAATCGCAGTTTATTATAAAGGCCGATACAGAAGTTATAAAGAGAGTAAAGAAAAACAAAAAAAAACACAGGACGTATTATCAATCTTTCAGTTCTATTTGTGTGTGTGTTTTTTTTTTGGAACTAAAATTTACAGCCAATCTTATGGTAAAGTTACTGTGTGTTTGTAAACCCAGGAACATTGATAATTTTACAAATGTTCTGTTAATTAAAACTGACATAAGGCAAATAATATACGGAAAATTAGACGTCACAACATGCTCAGTTGTAACAATGACAATAAGAATGTATCCGTTTTAAATTTAACTTTCAATGGCTTTAAACTTAATTTCTGATAAAATACTAATAACAGTTCATGAGTTTAGGTTAAGCTTCTGTTTATTTTATATATTTATTTTTATAGTTACACGAATTACTTATGTAGCTAAAGGGATGTTGTAAATATTATTTTACAAATGTTGGAAAATTTTGTTTTGACATTATTCCAGTAAAATTTTAATGACTATAGTATCACCAAGAATTTAATGACTACTGTTTTGTTGTATTCAAGATTACCGTTTTAGTTAATAACTTACTTATTTAATTATTGTGTTAATATTATTTTAGTCTTTTTTTACAGGAGTGGAAGAGAAAATAAATCAATTTCTTTAACTTTCTGTTACGATTAATCGTTTTTGTGGAAATTGCGACAACGTTAGAATTACGGTTGTTGAAATAGTTATTAAATGTATTTTCTGTATACATATTTTGGTTTTGCTAACACCACTAGAATTTTTATCCTGGATAAATGAGCGAGTATTTGTTTTTTTTGGGAATTATTGAAGCTTTTTACTTGAAAAGTGCACGAATTAAATAATATAACTTCATCAATTCGTAGGCGTAACACTTAAAAACTGTCGTTATGTTTTTGTCATCATTTCACACACACGCGATTTATAACTTTATACTTTGCAGCACCTGCAAAATTTTGTTAATTATACATCCTACTGTGTGACTGTTGTTACTGTTCGGCGTATCTTTTTAATTAATGTTTTATTATTGCCACATTTCGTGTTAACACATCGTATTACAATCGCCAACGAATAAAATTGGGTGTTTATTTGCGTTATCTTTTACTCAGAAGCGTGTACGTTTTACAACATCCCTTCAGTTATATAAGTAATTCGTGTAACTATAAAAATAATGTTATATTTCACCTGCGCAAACAAGGGTAAGGTATGTTCAAGTACCGGAAATTCCTATTTTACTATCTTCTATGTACTTTTATATTTCACAATTTTACGAGGGATATTCAGAAAATACTGAGACTGATCTTGATTAACAAAACTCACTAATTTTTCAAACACTAAGTAATATGTCTACTTCTGCAGGTTTGTAAAGAATAGCAAGTTTATGAGTGCTATTAAATTAATCAATTGTCTTGCCAATGTATTGTTCATAAATAAGTACAATAAGAACGGCAACTTCCAATAATTGAATTTTTCCACCCACGTTAAGTCGATAACGTGTAGAATTCTACATATAGAGATTGTTGTTATTGATACAAACATGTGTGTGGCGATTTTCGAAACACATAAAATTTATAATGTTTTTTTTTGCTCATTACTTCGAAAATGGAATGAGGCGAAGAAACAATAATTTGGTTAAGTTTATATGAACGACTGTAGCAACCGAAAAGTATCTATTCTTCCGTGAACACCCCCCCGTAATCTTAATAAACCTAATCAGATAGTGGATTACTGGAATCGCATTGTTTGAGAATCAAGATAACATTGTTACGAACGTTACCTTAATGCAAATAGCTTGTCTGGCAATCGTATTTAGATTAAAAATTGTGGATTTTTTTGTCGCTATCTGTGATTATAAATTTCATCAACTTGTTTACAATAAAAGAATTATAAAAATCCTTATCATGATTTTGCTATTGTGCAGTCAACTGTAAGAGGGCGACGTGCAAAACTAATGCATTTGATATTAGATGATTAGGGTCATGTTTCAGAATCTATTAAAAATTTCGATTCAATTTTTTAACCCATGTCCACACACTGCATGCAATTTTTATTTTGTTGATAGGTTTAAGTTTCTTAAAAAAATTATTAACCTGCACAACAAGTGCTTTATTTGATAATTAAATTAAAAGCAACAATCGTTTCCGAATATCTCTTTGACAGTATGTTTATAATTTTATAAAGGCATACCTGATGTTACAAAAAAAATTGCCTTTGTTTTAATATGTGTAAACTTTTTTTCACAACATAAAACTTAAAACATTTCAACCATATTTTAAGTTTCTTGTTGTGAAAAGATGGCTATGTATATTAAGAAAAAAAAAAGGCACAATATATGCGACGCCCACCCGGCCTGTCTCAATTCTGATGATTTTTTTTATTCGTCGTAAACCGAGGGGCGGAGCTTAGTTGTAAAATCTTTATTTTTCTACGAGAAATTACCATGTGAAATATGTTCTTAAGTAATCGTGTTATACAAAGAAAACTAAATATATTTATTAAAGAAGAAAACCAAAAGAGAAGCCCCACCCATCCGTCTCGGATCTCAATCGTGATGAATCTTTCATTCGTTGTTAGACCGAGGGGCGGAGCGTAATTGCAAAATCGATATTTTCCTAAATTACCATTTTAAGCAACACGATACTTAAAGCATTGGGGGCCCCGAAATTGTGTCATAATAATTTAAAATAGACATTCGTGGCCTTTGAGATTGTGTTGCAAATATTTTAAGATTGACACATCTGGTACTGAGATTGTGTCAATCGTCTAGAATGGACACTTGTGGCTTCGGAAATTGTGTCATATTCATTTAAAATTGACACACGTGACCTTCCAGATCGTATCAAAATCATTTACAATAGACAGTTGTGACCCCCGAGATTCTTTAATAAATAATCTTTTTAAATAATCAAACAAATACGAATTTTACAATTAAGCTCCACCCCTCGATCTGACAACAAATGAAAAATTCGTCACAATTGAGAAGGGCGGGTGGGTGTGGCTTACGTAGTCAAGATTTCTTTCTCTTAATATGTATATAGTTTTTTTTTTTCAACTA